AAATAATGGTGGATATGTGGCATTACTTTTTGGTTCCTTATATTAAAAAAAAACTTTTAAAAAGTGGGAGACACCTCATCATACATTATGTAATGCAATATTTAATGCTGATCTGTATTTTACATAAACTTACTTAACTTTTTTAAACTGTTCAACAGCTAACACAGCTTCATGTTAGAGTTTGATTCCCCTGTCTTCATTTAATGCCAGCAACTTCAACCAATCCAGTGTTTGCCAGCAAGGGTTTCAGGGCCTTGTAAAAAGCCCATCCAAATTTAGTAATGCAGAGATTCAAGAAAATCTCAGAAAAGTTTGTTTAAAGCCTCCATCAGAACCTTGAGCTGTCAACTGATGTTATTTAAAACTGTTTCTTTTCTTCTGTCTTTGGTCTTTTTCATAACCGAACACAATGTTTACGTGACCCTCCACTGAACCATGTACTGACTGCACTGTCAGTCCCTGAGGGTGACACAGACACAAACAGACTCTCACACACACACACACAGACAGACAGACAGACAGACACGTGTGACTGTCACAGTTATATTAAAAAGCCTTGTATATCTGCTCAACTCCTATGATAACCTAGAACACTCTCAAATCTATAAAGCACACACACCTTGGCAGGCTGGGGCGTGGAGAAGTTAAGCCAGGCAGGGACAAAGTCATGCTGCGCCATTTAGGTCCAGTGTTTCCGGTCAGTGGATCGAGGCATCAAACCTCATGGCCAGGATCTAATGACATGAACAACAGGAAAAAACATTTTCAATAATCAGCTTTGAAAATTGAAAGCGCAGTAACATGCCCATCTTTCTCTGATGTTAATGTTCTTTCTGTCAAAGTGTCAGTTATTTAGAAATTCAGTGTGTTAAGGTCTCCACAAGACAAGCCAACAAAAGTACTATTCTTAGCAGAAAACAAAGAAGGTTGACTTACTGCAGCTGTGCAAATGATAACTGCTTGACAGCCTGGTAAGAATATATCATGTGCATAATTCAAGTATTATTTTGCAATGTGTGCAGTTTGTGATAAATGAGTATAACTCGTGATGGATGTAACTTTTTAAAATTAACACCTGCTACCCACAAAATGTTGACAAATGACTTGTGATGGATCATAATACAGCCATTAATTCCCTTCCCATTGAGTGCACTCATACATGTTTGTCCCAGCCAAGTCAGTGGGGTGAAGCATTATCATTACCCCAGAGTCTGTGGCTCTGAAGTCCTCTGCCTCCTCTCTCAGTCCGATTGGGCTCGGTTCCTCAGGCCTGTTGGCACTGATCACAGCGTGTGTGCACTGACAGATGGGGAGCAGCACAGCAACAACCCCCTCTCCACCTTCGCCAGGACAGCACAGCCCCTTTACCCAGAGGCAGATCCCTTCGTCCAGGGTGAAACACTGGGTAAATGGGTGAACGGTTGCAGGAATGATCTGGAATGGTGATCCAGAGAACTGGCCGAGCAGTAGGTGCTAGAGCGGAAGTGCAGAGGTCTCTGAGGGAACGATTCTCCTTGTTGAATAAGATTCTCAGGCAGCTCCTGTGCCAGTCGCGTGTCTGATGAATTTTCGAGCGTTACTTCTCCCAGTCCAGGTAATGTCTCTTCCACAGGCAGACTGAATTTTTCACTTATTCATTGTCAGGAGTAAAACTCAAATCCTGAAATGGGCTATTTGTCCCAATGGTGAGGAAAAAGTCAGTCTGTCTTGTTCTCAATATAAGGAAGCAGTCTGTGAGAGTTGCCCGCCCTGAAACATGGACAGCAGTCTGTGTAGCAGTTCCACTTGGACACCAGATGGGGGGGAAGAGATGGCCGTTGTCCTGCCACACTGTGTGCCAGTATGTTGCCGCCTCACCTTTTACCTAATCATTTTAAGGTCTACTTAAACTCATGCAGAAAAGAAAATGGTGTTCAGAGACAGTCTTATTAGCAATGGGCGTCACTGTAAACCACTGCTCACCTCATTAAACTGGTGAAAAGACTGTCTGAGTGTGATGAAAATAATGCTCAAAAGGTTCAAAGTCACATGACAATGAAGAAAGCAAAACCCTATGTTACATTGCCTTCATTTTCAGTTTGGGTTAATGAAATAGAGGTGCTGCTGAATGATGCATTCTAATGCCGATTTTATCTTTATATGGTTTAATATCACATTTGTAAGATGCCCTTTTAAATTGCCACAATTTGTTGATTGAAGCAGATATAGGGTGTTGCTTTGATTTCATAGATATGCAAGCTCATATGCAAGCGAAATGAAAAGCATCCACAAGTCAAAAGGTCTTTGTGTCATGTGATGAACAACTGTCCATAATCAACAATCAAACTTGTCCAAAAAAAGAAGGAGAAAGAAAAAAACAAGAGTCTAATCCAGTCAATCTAATTGTTTTTCTCTAGGGGAAAAATGGAAAATAGCATGTGTGCAAGTGGGTCTTTGCTTTTTCTTCTTGAATGTGTTGATTTTTCTCACACCGGATGTTTCAGTGCAGTTTGTAGTTTCCCTGTTTGTCGATCATGGGTATCTGCACAGGAACAGACTGGACCTGCAGTAAACATGATAGTGTTAGTCTTAATTCAGAAAGAAAAACATTTCAAACCAGCCAGTTAAAAATATACACATAGACACACATTCTGTATTACACCTAGTTTGACTGATAAGTATTAAATGCTATAAACCATTTATAAAAGCCGCACTTTTGATAAGGTGATGATTCAACTTTATAGTCTATGGGGATTTTGCACAGTTACAAATGACTAATTCTTTGTCTACCCTCAATGGTATAAACAGGTTGGACAAAATGCTACCTACAATATTAGGAGATGCATCAGTATAAGGCAAAAACAATGGAACAGCAAGGTAAAGCTTCCAAAACCACGATAAAGGTGAATCGGTACCACATAAAAAGTGATTTACACTAGGGCAACAGTGTTAATAACATCTAAAAATATCTAATCAACTGTCAACTGAATATGGGGATTCCACATAGAGAAATTAACCTTATTATGGTGTGAGGAAGCCACCCTGCATAGCAAATACATACTCAAGGACAGTTCACTCAAGGACAGATCCTTCCCTTTGCACAGGTTCTTGTCTGTAGCCTCACCACCCAACTACTCACTATAGTGCCCATGAGCAGAACCAAAAGACGTGACATCTCTTTTACTCCTCTTGTTCTTAAATTGTTTTATAAAGAAATGTATCATTTTTGGTGCATGTAGTATGTTATCTGCCTTTGCTTATGGTTTTAGAAATACAAATTCCTCTATACTCTATATTGTTCAATATCATTATTAGTTGTGTTTTTTGTGTGTTAATTATGAGAAGCTCTGATCGTTTTAAAGCATTTTGGGATTGACAGTAAAAGTAAACCATGAAACCTAAACTTGAACCAACATTTCCCTTCACACCTATGTAACTGTAAATAGCTGCATGTGTCATGACATTATGAAAGCTCCAGCATTACAGAAGCAGCTTCCAACTTTAGTGACAATCTGTCTTCATTGCTCCTTTAGACACTTCCAATACATTCAAAGAGGGAAAAACCATGACTCAGTGATCTCAACACAATATCACACTGAAAGCTCCCCCTTCATAAAATTGTGTCGGCTTTGGAAAATGAAATATTTATGCCAGTTTAAAAATAACTTGGACACTTTCAACATCGGTGCTTCTCCTCGGGTTGCTGCGCATCTGCACGGGCCTGTGTCTGTGTGTTTGTGATGCTGGAAGAAACTAAGCTTAACATCCCAGTCACACACACCCAGTCCAGACACGCGTTATGATGCAGCCTGACAACAAAACAAAAATAAAAGCCCGTGTGCACAAACTGGGCTCGCGTGGAGTCGCTAGCGTATTCCCCCGCTGAACTATTACATAACAACCCAGCATCAATGAGTTTAGCGCGGACACGGGTTTACACTGTGCGGCGCAGGCAGCCACACTGGTCCCACATGGGCGACGGCAACACAAACAACGCTGAGCCAGTAAAAGTACACAGCTTTACGCTAGTACACATCGTGGGCAAACACGCACACGCGTCCACAAACAACGCAGCACACCGATTCCACACACAGCAACGTAACATGCACGCGTCTCCGAGCTAGCTAGCTGAGCGACGGTGCGGGTTTAAGTGCCTTTAAAAAATGTTCCAAACACAAATGCGCCAACCTGTTAACGTTGATAGCAAGCTAATAACATTATCTGCTCTGCCCAGACTGTGCTGCTGGCTAACTCTGCTTAGTTGACTGGTGTTAACGCTCGCGTAGCAACTGTTAGCTAAAGCTGACGTTACCTAGCCTGCTAAGTAGCACGCGATGCCTGCTAGGTAGTTAAGACCACTTAGTCCAGTTAGGGGGCTTAGTTGAGTAAAAATGTATATAATGTACACGCGGTGGGTAAAACGACGTATTTAAGCAACTGTCACAAACGTACGATAGAGGTAAACAGACCTGGCTTCGCTGGAACAACACGGTTTCAAAATGGCTACCTCAACAGCGGCAGCACACATTCATCAGTTTGCTAAGTGCTAGCGGGCTAACTTGCTGTGTTCCATGGCGGTACCGCGCACAGCCTCCTGGCCTCCGGTGGACAGCGGTGCAAATACGCGTGAGCGCTACGGAACACTAACGAGAGGAAACTTTTCTCTTCAGCTAGAAACCCTCGGCTGTTGGCGTTTGTTTGGGTTTCGAAGCGCTTACCACTGGCGCTGCCACTGAGGGGTTTCGAACAGGCTGACTGTGCTGTGTTCAACACCCGCCGCGATTATGCAACTCCTCGGCGTTCCAAAGAGTTGTCCCGGGCGAACCAGAGGTGAATTAACTTTCTATTCGAATGAAACAACACGTCGATACTTTGAGTTGGAACACCAGCCGCTCAGCAGAGATCGGCGCAGCGCGGAGTTTGCAGCGGGTTTAACGGAGTTTTGACGTCTTGAATGTAACTTAACGCCTCCCCCGCCGCCGTCAGCCAAACCAATCGATGTCAGATCGCATCTCAAGCGCTTTCAGAGTAGTTGGAGACGGGCGGTTAATCGAGCGCCGATAGAATGGCAGCCAGCAAACGACCTCTAGTTTAGCGACTTAACATGAATTTAGCGACTTTTAACTAACTCTCGTTACACTGCGGTGGCACTGGTGAGCTGCTGGGTGACAGATAGAACATCAGGTTTAGGGAAATGTAACATCTGTTTGTGTTTACGTGTTGTTACAGTATCTAGCTTCGTATTGCATCAGGTTTAGCAAGTATGCTAGCTGTTGATAACATTAGCCTGGAGGGTTATATCATAGCTAAACATACTAAACTACATGTGCTACAGGGGGAGCGTTATCAACAAGTGATTTCTTGTCTCTTTTAGATTAAAGATGTTGAGGTTAGCATCTGGAAGACGCATATTTTCTGAGGTAAGACTTAATGTGAGCACCTTCATTGATAAATACAGAGATACTACAGCCCACGTGCAAGCAGTAGCAAACAATAACAAGATGTTTGTTGCACCACCTGCTCATTGTCCCCTCAGGTTTCAGTGTGGAGATGTGTCCAGCAGATAAACACACAAGCAAACTACTCAACCAGAGCTAGGCTGCTGTTTCCCTGTCAGACCTCCTCAGTGTTTGTCCCATCCACAGCCTCCACCAGCAGGCTGCTGAGCGTCAGGCCTGTGAGCTGGCAGCCCTCTCGTCTCTGCCAAGGGGATTCCCAAAGAGGAAGCCCCAAGGATGGCCTCAGTTTGGGGGCACTTGCTCAGGCTCCCAAACCAGCCCTGTACCTTGGTTTCTCCGGGCTCATCCCCTTCCTGTCCGCCCCTCTCGTGATGGCTGCCTCTCAGTGCTTCTACCCCGAAGTGGCATACGCTCAAGTCGTCTATGGAGCCTCTATTGTTTCCTTCCTCGGAGGTGCCCGCTGGGGGTTTGCCATCCCGGCTGGTAGTCCCGCTCAGCCAGACTGGATGAACTTGGGTAACAGCGTGGTGCCTTCGCTCCTGGCCTGGCTGGCGCTGCTTTGCCGGGACAATATTACGGAGGGGGCCCTGGTAGTCATCATGGGACTGGGTCTGTCACTGCATTACGACCTGACCCTGCTTCCAGGCTACCCCACCTGGTTCAAAGCCATGCGAACTGTCCTTAGTCTGGTTGCCACCTTCTCGCTGGTGGCTACCCTGACAATTAAAAAATTCTGTACGGAGAAGAAGTTTAAAGAGATTAAGGACTGATCTGAGAGACAAATTTGTACTTCAAGCCATATATACTGAATAAACATGTAAAATGAAGTGAAAAAAAATCTTGTTTGTTCTTGCTCTACAACAGGTATAATTTTGATGGTCATGTTTCATATGCATATGCAGAATTACCTGCTTTTCTTTGGAAAAAGTAAAAAACTAAATGCACTTGACTATTCAGATATGTGCAAATCTGAGATGGTGAATCAACTTTTTGGACTATTTGCCTACTTCTCTTTTGTTATCCAACGCCAGACAGACAGACGTTAAACCTCAGCTGTTGAAGTGCATTGAATTAAGGAGATCTTGTCTTAGGTTTGTAAAAAATATTGATAATGTTGTCTTGTGTTATTAATGCTAATTCATACATTTTCTCTCCAGTCTGAGACAACATTTAGGATCAATAAATGAGATAATCAAGTATGTTTTTACATATTTATGACTGGATCAAGTTGCCAAAATCAGATTTGGAATCTTCTAAATTTAAATTTAAATATTCACAAATACCAGTCAAATCCACATGGTTTCACTGGAGACTGACATTAAATGTAAATATTCAATTTAAACAAAGGAATTCTGACAGATGCATGTGGATCCTAATAACAAGGGCACTACAGTGTTGATGACAACAAGCTGACTGTGTTGAGGGGTTTTACTTTTCCATGTGCAGCGAGATGTCTAATTTAATCCTCCCACACAAGTCTCACTGCTGTGTAATAAGTCACAATGCAGAAAATCACCCCAGCAAAAAAGAACAGTGACCTCAGAACGTGTTTGCCTCTAATATACAAAATCAAAGTCTTGATTTGAACAGATCTAAAATACCTCCATACATCACGAAGTACAGAAGAGACATATTGTGATACACAAAAAACAGTAATCTCATCCCATGAGTTGTTTGAACCATCTTCAACAAGTTCTAAAATTGTAATAATCTTGAATAAAAATAGTGATACAGGTTCATTTAAAACAGTTTTTGTGACTTTTAATAAAGCAAACAATAAAATGTTATTTCTATTCTGTATCATTAGTGTGTTGTTTCTTTCAAAGGGATAATGGTAGGCAATACTTTCTTTTTGTAACACTTCCTGTGATATGTGCTGATGTGGACACTAATGTGTACTTGGTGTACACAAGGTAAAAACCCTTCTGAACATGTGCATTGCCATGTATCTCATCACTTCAGGGATGGAATAGTATTTACAGTGTCATATGTACAAAAATAGTTCAGTGAAAAATGTGTGAGCACTGCACTGGTGTGACAACAGTGGTGCGCCATTCAAGTTTAAGATTATGTACAGTGAAATTTAAAACACCCCTAACTTTCATTTGGTTCCATTATCAAACAGGCTTAAAGTGGTTTCATACATGTTCAAAGTAGCAATGCACAGACCTCAAACTTTCCTTTGAGGCATCATAACAATAAAACTAAAGAACAGTGCTTACAAATCTTAGTCTACAACACGTCTCTCTCTATAGGTCTCTTCAACTATCAAGAAAAACTCTCTGTCCGGTTTATCAGAAAAGGATTCTGCTGCAGTGGAAAATTATCCTTATAATAATCAGGACAGCTTTGTCTTTCAACACAGAATAGAAGAAAATGTGTTCCTACTTAAAAATTCCTTAAAATCCAGAAACAGATGAGCCATGTACCAGTGTTAATAGAAGCAGATTCATTCGTTTTCCAGTTGAAGATCTGCGATAATATTTTAATAAAAAAGGAAACCCATGATCCATTTATAAATAACATGACATTAAAGATGAAATGATGAAATGAAATCCAACATAAGACAAAAACACACTTTGGTGTTTTCAAGGTGCAGCTTCTCTTCAGTTAATGCAGTTTCAGGATGATTCAGGGGCTGACATGAATGTTTCATAGTCACAATCCGAACATTCACGTATGTCAGAGCACGGCCAGCCCTCCGTCACATCGGCTCGTGATCATGTTACCGACTTCAGTCCAGGTGTCCAGGTGAGGGTCGTAGATTTCCACAGAGTCCACCGTCACTGGAGCAGAGAAGTCTCCGCTGGCCGCCCTGCCCCCAACTGCGTACAGCAGCCCGTTCACGGCTGACACGGAAACGCCTGCGCGTGCAGTAGACATCGGGGCCACCTCCACCCATTTTTCCTGAAAGCAAAGAGATGTGGAGGATGTTACAATCAAAGTACAACTCTCTTCTCACACATTTGAGATATGAAGTGACACTTAACCTCCTCGGGGCAGTACTTCTCCACCGTCTCCAGTGCGCCCAGCGCCTCATTCCAGCCACCCACCGCGTAGATACAGTTTCTGAGGCAGGCGACGCCCACATAGGCTCGACGTGTGACCATGACGGGCAGGGCACTCCATCGATGGGAGATGGGGTCATACACCTCGGCTGATCGCAGCTCCATCCCTTCATCGCTTATCCCTCCGATCACGTAAATGAACCCTGGAAAGAAACAGCAGCATTTAGTTCAGAGCTGGAGAGTCCAAATGTTGATGTTAGGAAAGAAATAAAGGAACAGAGGGATATACAATTATATTTCGAACACTATTCATTGCTACAGGACGTTCTCTCTGCCACGTGAAGAATCTGTGCGGTTCCTACAAGTTGAATCTGATTACAGTAATAAAAGTGAAACACACCTTGTAGCTCACAGCATCCAAAGTAGTAACGAGGAACCGCCATGCTGCCGATGACCTCCCACTTGTTCTCCTCGGGATCGTATCGTTCCATTGTCTTACCGATCTCAGAGCCAATCCAACCACCTACAGCACAGTCAGGGCAGTGTAATTAGTGGTTTCCATAATGTCACATGATGAGTTGTTTGATTAAAATTCACAAAAAGATTATGTTGAACCTCCTAACGTTGTCATTTTCATCTTGTTGCTATATTATTTAGCATCTGTCAACCATCCTAGTCAAGTCATTGGTTGTAATCCTGATTTAATTTGTGTTTTTGATTCATTTTTTTCAACAAGCAATACATGTCTGCACCTTCAAGTTTTTGATTATTAGATGAGTAGACGGATTAATTACAAAAATGTATTGTCTGTCTGAACACAATTTCCAATTCAATCCATTGTTGTGCTTAATTAGCTAATTAAACCTTTTTAAGTGTATAAGTGAATTGCATATTTAATAGAACTGCTATGTTATTTCCTTTGCTCACTCCAGCAATCTAATACTGCACGAAGCAGATTAAAAAAAAAGAAAATGTTCAAAATTTAAGCAACAGACCCCAATTTATCCTGAAAGTTGTTCCCAAGTTATCCTGAGAGTTATTCCCTGGTATGGGTCAAACTCCAAAAACATTGGATCCTACATTTCCCAAACCAAATAGCTTCTTTCATTAGACCTTCCCTGACTTGTCTTTCAGATGATTTATGTCCCCAGTTTCTAAAACAGGTTTCTGTCCTAAAAGTTAAGTCTCCAAGTCTCAAGTCAGACTTTACAAAGCTCCTCCTGAGCAACATAAGATACCCAAGGCCAAGCAGTTCTAACACAGGAGTTTAAACTGATCTTCATATGTGAAATCAATGGAGCCCCGCTAATAAAACTTAACTTCCATCATTTGCTATATGTATTCTGGTTGAAGAAGGCAGCAGTATTACTGGGATAATTACCGAGTGCATACAGAGCTCCATGGCAGGGGCAGACACCAACTCCACATCGAGGAAAGTTGAGAGACGCAACAGCAGCCCAATGCTTGGTCACAGGGTCATACCTCTCCGTGCAGTCAAAAATCATTGAGTCTTTCTCCCCTGGTGCAAAAAAACAGCGTTAGACTGATCATCATGCAGGACATTTAAATGTTTTGTTACACAAACAGTGCACAGTCTCAGCTCGCTCACCTCCCACCACGTAGATCATACCCTCCAGGACTGCAACCCCCAGCCCACTGCGAGCCTGATGCAGGGATGATACAGTGGTCCAGTACTGGTTGAAGGTGTCAAAGCGCTCGACACAGCTCAACGCCCGGCTGTCACTCCAGCGGCCGCCTTGCAACCGAGTGTAACCTCCTGAGAAAACAAGGTTACAGATTCAATTTCTGACATTTATTATTGTAAAACGTGAAAGGAATTTTTTATTTAATACGGAACCTATGGCATAGAGGTATTTCCTGGCTTTTCTTCTGGGCCTCATCTTGGCTGGTTGAAGCTGACTGTACATCTTATTCTCTTTTGGAGACTTCGTGACTTCAGTGTATTCCTTTAACAGAGTCTGCAGTGCCACCCTCAGGCTAAAGTCAGTAATACCTGTGTGGAGAGACAAAAGGGCAAACATGGTTCACTGTGAGGGTTTGGTTTAAATATATCCTTTATATTATATTGTACAAACATAAAGTGTGAAATATAAACAAGAAATGTCAATAATCACTCTTTTCCTACCCTCTATGTACTTGAACAGTCTCTGTGGGGAGAGCAGAGGGAAGCGGACTGGCTCCAGCACCTCCACGACATGTTTTTTCCTCTTTGCCACATCTTGCAGAACCCAGTCCATGGCTGCGGTGAATACTTGGTACTCATCTTCAATCCTCAGCTCCTCACTTCGCAGCAGCCTGACCAACTGATCCTTTGACAGGCCCCTGAACTCATCAGTAACACAGACCTAAAGGGAACAAAGCAATCTGTAAGCATTAAACTAAAAGATTACAATTTGAGCTGAAGCGCTTTTACAAATACATTTCTGATAAGTAATTAACTGTTAATCTAAATTGAATGTACTAGTAAACCATTTAGAAAGTTGAATTAAGTGACTCTCTTCTCGCATTCATACCTCCAGGAAGTGAACATGAATGTAGTTCTCAGTAAACTCCAGCATGTCCATGCAGGCTATCTGCTCCAAGAACTGGAAGATGCCCACACAGTTGGACGGGTCCATGTGGCCCTTGAGAAACTCTCCACAGACAGACACCACCTCATTCAGCTGCAACATGTCGGCTGCAACCATGAGCTCCTGAACGTTCTCCACCGTCACGCTGATCACACCTGACAAAAAAGAGTAAACATGTCCACTGAGAAAATGGTGCAAAACGAATATAGATTGTATTGAAGACAGTTGTAACATGTCAGACCTGTGTATATGAAGTC